GGTGTCCCCAGACTGGCCGCGGGTTGCGGGGAGGGGTCCTGGGGGTCCTGGGGGTCCCGATGCCAGCTCTGCTCTCCCTCTCGCAGGGCCCGTGCAGGAGGTGGATCAAGAGGGGCTCCTGGCGGAGCTCGGAAACCTCCTGGACCCCAAAGGGGAACCCCTGGGGCTGCTGGGGCTGCTGGACCCCAAAGGGGAACCCCTGGGGCTGCTGGACCCCAAAGGGGAACCCCTGGGGCTGCTGGACCCCGAAGAGAGCCCCGAGGAGTCCGAGGATCACGAAGAGAGCCCTGAGGAGTCTGAGGATTTTCAAGAGAGTCCTGAAGAGTCTGAGGATCACGAGGAGAGCCCCGAGGATCCCAAAGAGAGCCCTGAAGAGTCTGAGGATCCCAAAGAGAGTCCTGAGGAGTCTGAAGATCACGAGGAGAGCCCTGAAGAGTCTGAGGATCACGAAGAGAGCCCCAAGGAGTCTGAGGATTCTGAAGAGAGCCCTGAAGAGTCCGAGGATCATGAAGAGAGCCCTGAAGAGTCTGAGGATTTTGAGGAGAGCCCTGGGGAGTCTGAAGAGAGCCCTGAAGAGTCTGAAGATCATGAGGAGAGCCCTGAAGAGTCCGAGGATCCCAAAGAGAGCCCCGAGGAGTCTGAGGATCATGAGGAGAGCCCTGAAGAGTCTGAGGATCACGAGGAGAGCCCCGAGGATCCCAAAGAGAGCCCTGAGGAGTCTGAGGAGTCTGAAGAGAGCCCTGAAGAGTCTGAGGATCATGAGGAGAGCCCTGAGGAGTCTGAGGATTTTGAGGAGAGCCCTGAAGAGTCTGAAGAGAGTCCTGAGGAGTCTGAGGACCACGAAGAGAGCCCCGAGGAGTCTGAGGATTCTGAAGAGAGTCCTGAGGATCCCAAAGAGAGCCCCGAGGAGTCTGAAGATCACGAAGAGAGCCCTGAGGAGTCTGAAGATCACGAGGAGAGCCCCGAGGAGTCTGAGGATTCTGAAGAGAGCCCTGAAGAGTCCGAGGATCACGAGGAGAGCCCTGAGGAGTCTGAAGATCACGAAGAGAGTCCCGAGGAGTCCGAGGATCACGAAGAGAGCTCCGAGGAGTCTGAGGAAAGCTCTGAGGATCCCGAAGAGAGCTCTGAGGAGTCGGAGGAGCTCAGCGTGGATCCGACCCTCCTCGGGGAGCTGGCAACCAAACTAAAAGGTTTGGGACCCCCCCCCAAAACTCCCCGGGCCCCCCAGGGACGGGCAGATCTGGTTCGGGACCCCCCAAAACTCCCCGAGCCCCCCAGGGACGGGCAGATCTGGTTTGGGACCCCCCAAAACTCCCCGAGCCCCCCAGGGACGGGCAGATCTGGTTTG